TTTGCTCCAACATTGGCTGGAGTTGCGTGCCCTTAAACCAGAATTTTTGCCACAGCACTCCACTGTTCAGCCATTCACTAGGGCAGACAGTGCACATGGTGAAGAGGAAGATGGGGCAGTCCTCCTCAGACTAAAGGCCACAATCTCTGAAAGAGAAATCAAAGCATTTTTCCTTAAACCACAACTCACAATATGTGTGTGTGTGTGTGTGTGTGTGTGTAATCAGTGCCTCTAGTTTTGAGTGAAATGGCTTCCTTTTGTGTGTGGTTCTCTCCACCACAGACAAAACAGGGGCTCTGTTGACTACCTTCCCAAAAGGAATATTTCCACAGATGACCCACAGGAGACGATGTTTTCAGTTCTGCTGGGGGAAAATGATGTCATTGCAGAAGACAGGAGGGCATTGCAATTAAGAGAGTCAGGGAGGTATGAGTTGGATTCGAGTGAACTTCATGTACCACAAAAGCAAACAAGGGACCGTTTCTGACTCACTCTTGCATAGTCTCACTGCTCAGAATGGTAGCAGGCACATGGACTATTTATTGACACATAAAAAGCACTCGATAACTATTTGTTGAAAGAGCAAGCAAATAGATGACTCTGTCAAGAACCATGACTCAAGCAACTTAATATCTCTGTTCATTTTCCTTATCGAAAAATAATTCCCCCCTTTCAGGTTGGGTGAAAATGTTAAGAGCATGCACAGGAAGGCATTGAGTTGTTTATTTTGTGCTCAGCAAACTGTTGTCGTGCTAATGTGGTCCAGCTGATTGCCATCAGAGCATCCTTGTCTGCATGAAAAACAAGGCAAATTGCTTTATCCCTTGGAGAGATCCGTACAAATCCCTTGATGTCCTCTGGTAATTTTCAGAATGACGATTAGATCCATGAGGGAAGGGCATTGTTGCTGTTTGCTCATGGAATTCTGTGCATGTCAAATCCCCATGTGATTCTGGCCAGCAGCCCCTCCAGGGAGGAGACTTCCTCATAAACTAGTGGTGGTGGCAGCACAGCCTGGTACAGCCTTTTGGAAAGCAATGTGACTGTGCATATGAAAAGCTTTAAGTGGTTTAAACCCTTTGGTCCTGTGATTCTCCTCTGGGATTAGCTGTAAAGAAAAAACCACAGGTGCAGTCACAGATGTATACCCTGAATATTAATTACATCATTATTCCTATGTTGCTCCCCAAATTCTGAAATCGCTTCAGTATGCAGCAATGTGGCAAGTTCAATGAATGCGTCATTACACAGCCATTAAAAATCACGACAGGGAAAATGTTCAGAGTATATTTTTTTAAGTTAAAAATATTATAAGATAAAAGTATTATGCTTTTGTATTATCCAAATTTTATTTGTAGAGTATATTATTAATATATGCTTTGGAAAATCACAAAAATGTTATTACAATAGTTGGTTTATGGTTGATTATTTTTCACAATGAACATATTTTTATTGAATAATCATTTATTAATAACAACCAGAAAACATGTCATTAGAAAATATAATATAGAATCCACAAGGGCCTGCAGAAGGTTATTAACAACTTCTCAAAAGATGGAAGAATGAGGTTTTCCCTAATCCTGGATTCTTCCTCTTAGGCAAGTCTAATGAGCAAATTCATACTCCAATGTTTAGATGTCTTTGTACTTGTTTACTTACAAGTATCAGCCTTTAAAATTGAAATCAATGAAATGGAGACAATTTATGCTGCTAAATGATTTGTTAATGGGCACATAAAACATCAATGGTAGAACTATTTCATAGCAGAAGTATACGAGGATCTTTCAAATATGTCACTAGGGCAGACATTCCTAATTCTTCATAAAATTTGTATTCTAATCTTTCTCAACTCATAAAAGTTCTCTTATGGTTTGGAGTGAACATATTAGAAGATTTCTAACCAGCAAAATGAACATGGAAATGATGTGTACCACTTTATGACCTGGCTCATAAGAACCTCTCATGTGTCCTCCTCAAGGGTCTTTTTTTCCTTTTGCATGAGACAATCACAGAAACTTCAGAAGCCACATGTTGAAGATGGCCAAGTCTTCATTAGCCACCATCCCTAAGTAGCTCTGAGGAAAAGAGCTATCAACTCCTTTTTACATTCACTCAAGACTCTTATGTAAGCAAGAACTGCACTACAGTTTTAAAAAAATGTATTATATGTTTAGAGACCTGTTTGTTATAGCAGCAAGAGTTAGCCTAACTAATATAGCTAGGTTGTTTACACTATACTATCTGTGCAGCTTGGCCAATTTCATTCTTAGTGGAGAGGAGGAGTGACCATTTTTGTGGAGAGATCACAACAAAGTGAGGAAAAAAGAAAAATTTACAAGATGATACAAATGGTGTCTTCTTTAAAGAAAACACCATTTGTACCATCTTGTAAATTACTAGGGTCTTATAGACAGACTTTGCTCAATTTTTCTCACCCAAAAAGTAGAAAAATGTATTTGTTTGAATATGAAGCCCAAAATAAATAAAAGATCATCATTCTCTGAATTGTTTTTTTTTTCCGTGATCTTTTGTATTATTGTTGTTCTTTGTTAATGTTTTTTTTTTTTTTTCTGTAGCCTAGAATTCAGATTTGAAGTTCTAACCCCAAAGCCATGGCATTAGGAGGTGGGGATTTTGGGAGACCATTAGATCATGCGGACAGAGCCCTGTATAAAATACCAAGAGATCCCCTCACCCATTCCATCACAGAACACAGCTGCAGGGCACAACCTGTGAGCAATCAACAGACCCTCCCTCACCAGACACTGAATCTGATGACCTGAGAACTTGAACTTTCAGAACAGCAAGAAATCAATTTCTATTGTTTACAAGCCACCCTTATTTTTAATTTGTTTGTTTAGTCTGTTGTTTGTAGGAGCCTGAATGGACTCTTTATTCTTCCATTTGGATACAGGCTCTATAGGGGCAGAAACTTTGCCTTGTATATTCCTGCGGCCCCAGCTTTAGAAGATTTCCTAGAACCATAGGTACACATTATGAATTTTCTAGAAATGAAAATCAGTGAGATGAGTGCAAGATGGATAAAGAGAAATATACCTGGTGGGACTTACCATCCTGAGATTTGGCTGCATGCTTTCTTTATGAGAAAAACAAGTTCATCTGACACAGACATAAACATAAAACAAACACATACAGGACAGCCACTCTCTAAATGTCATTTCACATTATTAGGTATATCTATCCAGTGCTTCTCAAGTCCAAACCTGGCTGATGAGTTGACTGAGTGTGGGTGTCACTGTACTTCCCTTCTCACGTATACCAACATCACTGTACCTCTGAGTCACTTTTCCAGCTCTGACCTTGCACAGATTTACCACCTGATGTCAGAGAGCTTTGTATTTGCTTCCCCTCGATGCCCTCCCCAAGCAGATGGCTCAGAGATAAACAGCCAATAAATATCAATTTCCATGTGTGAGAAGGTCCAGCTACAGGTGTTTATTTGCTCTTATAATTGTTCTGTTGTTGCCAACTAGATCGAGTTATTCAGTTAAACCTTTTGAATCATTAGCTGCATACATACTACTCTTTTCCTTTTGAAAGATGTAGCTGTTACTTATCAATTTATTGATGTTTATTCATGGTTCACTAGAGAAAAAGAAATAGTTGATTTTTGTATAGATACATGGAGAGAGAGAAAATTTTTTAAGGAATGGACTCACATATTATAGAGGCTTGGCCAGTCCAATATTTGTTGGAGGAGGCCAGCAGGCTGAAGAGTCAGGAAGGACTTAGGGTGAAACAAAGATAACCTGCCGGTGAGCCAGACAGGAGTCCTGTTGCAGATGAACTGTCTGAAGGCAGTCTACAGGAGAGTTCCTTCTTGCTCTAGGAAGTCAGTCTATACTCTGTTCAGGCCCTCAAGTAACTAAGAGTCCCACCAACTTTACTAAGGACAATTTGCTTTACTACATCCACAGACTTAAATGCAGATCTCACCCATAAACACCACAGCATCATCCAAAATAATGCTTGGCCAAATACTTAGGCCCTGAGGCTCTGAGAGGTGAGTACCTAAAATTAACCCTCCTGTTTGGTTTGCTTGCTGGTGATTTAGCTCATTTGTATCCAGTTGTCTTTTCTTTGCTCCAACACTCTAGGTCCTTGGAGTCATTTAATATAAAATCTTATAGTGACCTGGGAAGTCCCAACTTCTCCTTGCTGCTTCCTCAGTCTTTTGCCTAGTAACCAATTTCCAAGCTGGCTTCCATTTTGTCTTTTAGCTACCTAAGTCATGAATTTGTTCTAATGATCAAATGAAAGAAAAATGTATTGACAAGCTCTGTAAGGACAAATTCATATTGAAACTATCAGTTAAAAATGTTTACATATCAAAGGTATGACCTTTGAACCACACAAATGAGATAATTGAAAATTTCTCATATGTAGCATATTACAGGTGAGTAACTGGCCTCTAAATGTTTAAAAATACTTGGAGGCCATCTGACTCAAGGTCACTTTTTTGTAAGAGCATCTCATTGTGTACTGCCAAACAATCACTAACTATTCCTACTTGAAGATTTTTGAGCCACATTAGACCCAGAGTCTCAATTTTATTATTTGAACTCAAGATTAGGTGGGTTTAGATAATCTCAAGAGGATACTGAACCAAGATCCAGCGAAGTCCATATCATAAGCATTTTGCAGTATGTTGGTGGTATGAAAAACAATGCATTACTTCTTACATTAGTGATAATAAATACATATGTTATTAAGAGAACTGAGTGGTTTTGAATAGGTCAGACCTGCTTTGATGCTCAATATGCAAAAATACATACATTTGCAATATTGTTTTTTATTCTGTGAATACTGGAACAAGGAGAAGTTTACAGCATGCTTTTTATTATCTTGGTTATAATGGATGGATGGTTTCCTTTCTAGGTGCAGTTTTGCACGGCAGACAGTTCTGTTTTCAAATGTGCAAAAAAAAAATCAGTTTTATGAACACTTTGCTCATATCACTTCTCTGCCACTTTCTCTAGGAATGCCCCAGTGGTGTTGTTAATGAAGAAACCTTCAAAGAGATTTACTCGCAGTTCTTTCCACAGGGAGGTAAGTACTTGTTAACACACTCTCACAGTTAGAATTATGTTTGCAATCTTGAGTTGGTTTAATCTTTCATGGCATGACTCTACATTTTTAATCTTTATGTAAAATAATTAATACACAGCATGCAAGTGCATAGAATTTTTGGTGTATCATAGAAATGAGCTACTTACAAATTATCAAATATCTAAGAGGTTACTTTTCAGTTTAACACAAATTTTACTGTCTGCCTGTAGTATTATGGCTCACAAATATATAATGCTTTTAGGGGTCCTCAAAATGACACAAGGCTTTTAAAATTGCATTATAGTTCTCATCTGATTTCTTAACAAAGTTAGGGAAAATGTAATTATCCTCAGTTTACAGACATGATGTCTGGGACTTAGAGAATTCAAACAGCTTGCTCAGACTCACACAGCTGCTCAGTGGCAGACCTGGGCTATAACCTAGATTTTTCTGTGGACTTTTTTTTTTTTTTTTTGGTACTGCAGATTAAACTCAGAGGATCATAATCACTAAGTCACATCCCCAGATCTTTTTGTTTTATTTTGAGACAGAGTCTCACTAAGTTGCTTAGGGCCTTTCTTAGTTGCTGAGGCTGGCCTCAAACTTGCAATTCTCCCATCTTGGCCTCCCAAGTCATTGAGATCATAGGTGTGCACCACTGTACCCAACTCAGGTGCACTTTTGCTGTCCCTTTCTCCTTTCAGTAATACTTAACTATGACCTCCTCCCCATCTGAGAAAGTTAATATTTTAATTGGAAAGAAAATGTGAGGATAGTATAATGATGTCATGCCCTCTAGAGATGAGTGAAGAGATTGTTTGCCGTTGGATCTGACATTTCTTCTTCAGTTACCCAACAGATGCCCATCATATCACCCAGCCTACTGTATGCTCAGCCATGTGTGAGGTACTACTAATGTAAGAGGAATGGGAGGAATCAGATGTGGTACCTGCCCCAAAGTGTGTTAGACAGTAGTCTACAGGAGCAGAGGGACAAGGTCCATGTAAAGTATCAATGTAAAGATGGAGATTATAAATAGCAGAATGGAAGCTTAGTGTAGGCGTGATGAGATCCCAGGAAGGACAGAGAGGAAGTAAAGAGAGGTTGTCCAGGTGCATTGAACATAGGCTGAAATTGATGCCATTTTGAGGTATTGAATATATTCCTGGCTCTGGCATGCCTTACCCTCATTATCCAACAAATTTTATAAATAAGGACACTGAGGTACAAAGAGATCACTCCACTTCCAAAGTATCTAGTCTGTCAGTTCCTCATCTTACCTTTCAGGAGAACTTTCTTGCCACAGTGTGATATCTTCCAGCTTCAAAAGGTAGCAGGGATGCTCTAGGCAAATGTAGAGAAAGATAAGGGGCACAGCCTAAAAACGAAGGTAGAAATTTTCAGGAAACTGACAGAACTGTGGTGTGAATTTGGCATGAAATGTAATAGTCATGGATTCCATAATAAGAAACAGGAACATTTCCCTTGAGGTGATGCAGAGGCACTGATGGGTTGAAGTCAGAGGTGCTATGGTCAAAATTTGTTTTAGATACATTCCATGATGGCTCTGTGGAGGATTGATATGATGTAAGCAACATCACAGACAAGGGGAGCATTCGGAAATTTATTACAGGATGCAAAGCAAGGTCTTTAACCAGGACACACACAGTAGGATTGGGAAGTGGGGAAAGAGTGCAGACATTTAAATGATTTAAACTGGCAGAACCTATTGATTGATTGACTTTTTATGGTAGAAAGAGATGAAGAGAGGAGTTTGTGATAACTTTCAGAATTCTGTCCTGGGCACCAGGTAACAAGTTACAGAAGGAGTAGATGATTATAATTTTGGACAGATTACATTTGTGGTGTCTGTGGGGATTTAGTATCAACAAGGATTTGGTAGAAACCTGAGGCTCTATTGAAAAATCCAAGAAAGAGATGGAGATCTGGGAATTATTAACCATGAAGTGGTGGCTAATGATGTGGCCATGATATGGGTGAGGTGACTGGGAGAAGTATAGAAAGCAGGGAGTCAGCCATGAAGCCCAGAGCACATGTTAAGAACCAGATAAAGAAAAGGAAACTGTGAAGGAGACAGAGAACAAACAGTCAAAAAAATGACAATAAGTCCCAACAAGATTGGTAGTTCAGAAATTAAGAGAATAGAGACATTAAACTCTGTAGCCAAGAGGTCCAGGGGAATGAAGATTGGGGGGTATTCTTGGGACATGGCAACATGGAGGTCATTGTTTGTAAGATCATGGCAGCTTGAACAAGAGAGTTAGGTGGGGCACAGACAGAAGCCACACTGAAGAAGGCAAAAGGATAAATGAGAAGGGAGAAAATAGAGACAAGCGGTAGAGACAGCACTTACAGGAAACTTGGCTGGGAGAGTGAGGTGATGAGGAGGAAGTAAATGACAGCCATGTCAGCCATAGGCAGACATAGGTGGAAGAATTTATTTTTTTTAATATAGGCAAGGACGGAACTTGTTTATATACAGAGAAGGAGCTTATAAAGAGCCATGTGCTAACAGCTTACAACAGGAGGTTGATAATAAGTAGAATTAAAATCTTGATGGGATATAATGGCATAAGGTAGAATGAGACAGGGATCAGGAGTCTAGGGAGAAGGCTTTACCTTGAGGAGGAAGGCAACTGTCTAGTCCTTCATTTGACCTCTACACAACATAAGGAGAAGGCTTCACCCTTAGAAGGAAGGGGACCATCTGGTCCTTTATTTGACCTTTATTCAACGTAACAGGCAACCATTGCTTCTCTCTCTGTGCCCAGACTAGACTTTGCCATTGACTTTGCCATCACCTTTTACAATTGCTGTTTACTATGGAGTCACCCTCATCTCCTGCCAAATTAATTTCAGTGGTCTCTGAAATATTCTCCTAGGTTCTGACACCTCTTCCCACAACAATGGTCAATGCTCAAAATGAGCCAGAATCACCCTGTTACATGGCAGGTCAGATCATGTCACTGCTCTGCTCAAAATCTTCCCTCCTTTCAGAGCATAGCCAATAACCTGAATCATGGTCACTGATCTCTTGCGCCTTAGTCTTTCCCATCTCCCCCCTTGACTCATCCCAATTCAGCCACACTGGCTTCCTTGCCTTCTACTCACATATCAATCATGACACTGCTGCTTCTGGGCTTTTCAATTTGCTATTCCTTCTGCCTGGAATTCACTTCATCCAAATATGTATCCAAATATCTCATCTCCTTTGCTTTTACTCTATACCACCTTCTCAGGGACCCCTACACTTTAGACATTCCCCATCACTTTCTTTTTCTCTTTGGCATTCAAGACCACCTAATACTACATATTTTACTTATATGATTGCTGTTTGTTATCTATTTTCCCACTAGAAATCTCCAAAGTCACAGAGGTTTTCTTTGCTGTTGTATCCACAGATCATGGAGTAGTGACTGATGAGAAATACAAATTGTTAAATACTTATAATGAGTGAGTAACACCCATCTCATATGCTGGCTGAAATTATACAAAGGACTAATATCTGTAAAAAGTGGTTTTGAAAATTATATGCCATTTAAATTTTAGTTGTTTCATATAAAAATCAGATTCCCTTTTGGTTTTCAACCCATTTGGTTAGGTATTTGACTGGACTTAAAATAATTCTGTGCATGGATTAGCAAGAAACAAATTTTTGTTAAAGATAGTCCTTTAAAATAATTAAATTAGAATTCTGAGAAAATACAGGGAGACACATTATTACATGGATTTGGATCCACTGTGGACAACTCCTCTCCTCTGTCTCATTGCTACAGTTCAGAGAGAAAATCTGTTCTGACACCACAGGCAGTAGGTATTGGTTACAGCATGTAATGCAAGGATTTTTATTAGTGAAAGTTTAATTTGGGTATCATTCAGTCATCACATCTATTTCTAAATTATTTAAAACATGAATTTTTTAACAAAATCATTTTTATTAGCTGACTGCCAATATATTGGTAGGTATTGCTATCAAAGCTTCCACAAAAAAAAGAAAATCTTAGTTACTTTTTGATTATTTCAAAAAAGGTTATTACATGCTACAAATTGGATATGGTTCCACATTAAAATTTTATCTTTCTTCGAAAGACAACATTTCCACATAAGAGAATATCTACCGAAGCAGCGAACATGTACTTTGCAAAGGATTCTTGTTATAAAATCCAAAGGGATTTACAGAAAATCACTTTTATTCTCTTAGAAATTCTTTGATTATTTATGTTAATTGAATGCATAAATCTAAGAGTACTAGGTATCTTTGACAGGAATGAAATATCTTAAAGAATAATGACTTAAAATTTTAAAAATTAATATCATGCATACAAATTGTATCTTACACTGATGCTAGCTAGCTAGCACAGGAAACATGTCCTAATGAAGAACATGGTCTTGAATGGCAGGCAAATTCATGTCACACCATCTTCATACTTCCATGGGGCCGTTGTTTATTCAGGTGGGTGGTCTGAAAGCAACAGGTTTATGACATTATGAACAGTAACACTGATGTGTGGGTAAATCACAACATCTCTTTCCTTTTTCCATGACAAAAGTGCTTTACCTTTTGTACAGAGTCCTCTGTGCAATCTGTATTGTGTCCATCTGTATTGTGTCTGGCTTTAAGTTCTCTCTAAGGCTTAGTGTGAGCTATGTCTCACATAGCTTGCTTGGTGTTTTGGATGTTGGCATAACTGTATTGAACACTTTCTAGAAGTGTTCTAGAAAGCCTACTAGAAGGCAAACAATAGGGAAAGGCTTGAGGGCATTATTGCCTGCGTGGTTACTTTTCCACCATCACATATAATAGAAGCTTCAGTGTATAAACTCTTAGCTCAAGACACATTTCAAAATCCCATGAAAACTGGAGTTTCTGAATACTCCTACTTATGTTGTAGGAAATTTGCACTTACTTTAGCTATACTAGGTTCCTTATTAATAGCTATTAAATGAATGAATAAATGAGCCCAAGTCAGAGGAACATGTCAGGAAATATTCATTGAGCAGCGCTAGGTACAAAGGACTCAAGGCACTTGAACTTAGATGAGTGCTATGAAAATAAATTTAAAAGAAAACTCCACTCACTGAATATCTTCCTTACTCTAAGACAATATCTCTAGCAATATTTTAGAGTGATTTATGGAGGACAATTGTGTGTTGTATGTGCTGGAGGCTGAATCCTTACTAGACTAAATATGTGCTTTGTCACTGAACTGCACCTCCAGTCCTAGAGGACGTATTGACAGAAGCTACTATTCATGCATAGTAACCTGCCTTACCATAGTAATAATTCCATGAATTGTATATTTAAATGCATTAAGCTAATTTTGTACCTTGTGCTTAAATTCATGTGGGAGCAAGGGGTTAAGGTGAGAAAAGTCATCCAAAATTATTTCATTTCACAAACCAGAGACATGATCATCATTCAAGAATTAGATGTGAGCCAGGCACGTTGATTCACATCTGTAATCCCAGCAGCTCATGAGGCTGAGGCCAGAGGAGTACAAGTTCAAAGCCAGCCTCAGCAACTTAGTGAGACCCTATCTTAGAATAAAATATAAAAAGGATTGGGGATGTAGCTCAGTGGTTAAGCACTCCTGGCTTCAATTCCTTGTGCCAAAACAAGAAGAATAATTAGTTGTGGAGTTTCCTCAGTAAACGAGGAATGGAACCATCATATGACCCCTGTCCCGCTCCTTAATATTTTTCCAAAAACATCTAAAATCCCCATACTATAGCAATGTAGCCACTTCAATATTTATAGCAGCACAATTCACAATAGTAAAATTATGGAAACAACCCAGATGCCCATCAATAGATGAATGGATTAAGAAAATGTGATATATACAACACAGAGATATGTGAATACGAAGTGGTTTATTTTTTCTGGGCCTGAAGTCATTCTTCTAGAAAATGTAGAAATCAGACCAAAGAAAGTTTTCTGTTTTTTTTCCCCCTACTCTAGTGTTCTTTACTTCAGAGTTGGTAATGAAATGTCTTCATTTCATTATCAACTTTACTATTTAGAAACTAGCTGACCTTTTTAAGTCACTAAAACAACCTGCACCTATTTTCCACTTTTGTTAAAAGTAGATAACTTGATAAATGGCATCTTATGATCTCATCCTACCCTAAGAGTCTATTAATTTTGTTTCCCAACTATAAATTTTAGACATATACTTTTAATCTCCCCAATACAATCATAAGAGACAGAGACAATCTCAGCATGTCTATTTCAGTGATTATTTTTGTGATATAAGGAGGTTGTGAACAAAAAAGACCATCAAGACATGTGGGGAGAAGGGAGATCATTGCTGTCTTTTAAACCTTCAACTGCACTGGAACCTAGAATTCAGGACACCAGTTATTCATCCGGTTAAAAATAGTTTACCATTTACCGTGTGCCTGGAAAGAACAGAGTAAGGTGAAGCCAGGGTGCACAAGCTCCTGTGGACAGTCGGACTTTTCTCTACATCCACCTCCCTGCCAGGCTCCTCCCTCTTGCTCAATCAAAGCTAGTAGCCTCACTACCTTTCTTTAAACATTTTCACTACTTGCCTGAAAAAAACCCAGACTCCATCAGAAGGCTCATTTATTTTTTACTGGCCTTTATTGAGCGTGAAATTGCATCAGATTAGAACTCCAGTCACCTAGGCGCAAAACAGCGGCTTCACAAAAATAGGAAGTGTTCTAAGTGAAAAAAGTTTGAAAGAAATTTGACCACACTTGTAAAGATAGTTAAATAAGAGTGGCTTGTTCATGAAAGAATAATAATAGCTAATATTTTCTACTATTTAATAGATACCTAGAACTACTCCAAATGATGCACATATATTATCTCCTTTAAACTTCATGACATATCTATGAAATATATACTGTTATTAGCACTTTGTTGAAGAGGAGGACACTGACTCAGAGAGATGTCGGCTTGCCCAAGATCACAGAGTGAATCCCTAGTAAAGCTGAGATTAAAATTCAGGTAGTCTGACTTCACTACACTATTAACAAAAGCCATCTGCATGATAAATCTAGGATGTAAATCAGGCTTAACTTCAAGGAGAATTGCAAAAGTCCATTGACAAGAACAAAAAGTCCTCTGTAACATATTAGTGTAAACCTTGAAAGCATCATTGCCATACATCAAGATTAAAACTAGAGAAATCACATTGAGAAGAATAGTAATTATCATATGCCTATATTCTCTTGTTTTTTAAGTTTAAAAAAAAATTGCAAGCATCATCTGTTCTGAGCCATTATTCATGGTGAGTTCTGCTAGCTGGGGTAAAGATGTTTACCTTGATTGTAAAAACAGGGTAACAAGAGACTTGCTTAATGAAGCCCCGTTATAAAATATGCAAAATCGCTTCTTTTTTTTTTTCCTCTCCCCTAAAATAAATTTAACATACTGCCTATCAACTCACATCTCCAGAGGGCACTAAATAGTTTAAGAAGTCTGTGAAAGAGTACTATTGAGAGCAGAAAACTTTGCAAAGAAGAACAGGCTGCCAATTCTTGATTACTCTGCAGTGAAATTTCCCAACAATAGCTCTAAGTAGAATGCAATTAAACCCTTGGTCCCATATACAAAAAAACAACAACAAAAAAATCTCTTCCTGCAATCAATCAATACTAGATGGACACACACTCTAGACATAATGGTTTCACATATTATTTAGATCCAATTATGGTGCCTGATTAGTTCACTGAAATCAATGTTAATAATTCATGATTCCTCATATTATATTTAATGTTCAGAGATGAGAGAAGATGTCACCATCATTCTGCGAAACCAAGTGTAGAGTTGACTGTATGAAATGTGTGACCTTCACTGAGGTGAAGCAGTCAGGAAAAACAACCCCTAAGTAGGCCATGGTCCCTGAGACCATAGGAAGAGTCTGGATTTTTTCTGACAGGTGTAAACATGTTTCAAGAAGGGCCATGATGCTGTTCACGTTGACTGGGCAAGAGCAAAGCTCTCAAAAAACTGGGTTGTCTGTCCTATCTTTGATTTGGGAAAGACAATTCTCTACTCATTCTACTCTGACTTAGTTCTTGACAGCCTTCAAAAAACAATTCATAAAGTAAAAAGTGAATAGAAGTTAGATTAAATACCAGTAAGAATTAAAGCTAAAAGTCATAAAATAAAAGTGCGATTTTAAACAGAAGATATAAGGCTTGAGCCAATGAGCTGAAAGGTTAGATTTTTTAAAAAGATAACAAAGGTTAAGACAAAAGGCTAAAACCCATGAGAAGAAACATTTAAACTAATCATGTAAATTTGATCAAAGGTCAAGCACAAAAGCACTTAAAATGAAAGCTGACACTAAGAAAAGAAAACAATAAGGAAAAATAAACTTTCAAAATGAAAAAAAAAATAGAGATTAGAGAAACAAAGCAGTAATGGGAGACAAAGGAGGGAGGAAAAACACAGAGGAAGAACTGGGTTTTACAGGGATTCCGTGTCCTTGGTGTCCTGAGTCATGACAGTTACCGACCTGTCCATATTGTCCATCATTACCCAGAGCCTCAAATCCCACCCAGGACTCAGATGGAGTAGGGGCTCCCCGTGGAATGTAGCTGCAGGCAACAGGACATCTTGGGCACCTCCAATAAACTTCCAACTTGGCCACAGAACTTCCAAGTCACCATTGTCCCCAGTTCATCAGCCAATCTTGCAGGCTGCAGGCCATCCTCAGAGGCTCCAAGCTGCCAACTTACTTTTTGATGGTGTGACTTTAAGCAAGTTTTTCAACCTCCCTGAGTCTTCAGAATACCTGTACCTGAGTTGTAAACACGAAGAAAGTACGATTAATGACAAGTAACAGCAATTCACCACTATCACCTTACTTGTATTCTTATGACTTTACTTATAGAGAGAGTCTCAGCCATGCACAAAGCAATGCCTCAATGTACCCTTCTTTATCTTCACAGCCCCAGTGACACCATTATTCAGACACATATTAGGATCAGAGAATTTCCAGCAAGAGGCTCACAGAGAACATCTGTCACCTATGGCTTCTGTATGGGGTTCAATCCATGAACCTCAAGTTTCAGTCCTCTATCAAGAGAGAGGAGACAGCTGGGAAGAAAACATGAACTATGGAAGAGGGGATTGATTGTCCTGAGTACAGGGAGGCTTGGACCTTCTAGCCAAGTCTTCTGTGGCAACTAAACACTGACCTAATGGTATTCCCTTTCTGTATTTCAGACTCTACAACGTATGCACATTTTCTGTTCAATGCATTCGATACGGACCACAATGGAGCTGTGAGTTTTGAGGTAAGCTGTTGACTCTTTTTACATTATTTGACTTAAGATACCCTGAAAGGGATTTTAGTCTTTTCAGTAGGAAAACTTGAATTTGGTGATTTGATCATTTTTGAGCAGAGGGGAAAAGCCCTAGAACACCTCATTTCTCTCATTGAATTGCTAAGAAGCTGCCCTTATCTTTCAAAAGGCTTACAAATTACAACCCATATTTAGCTTATTTTTCCAGTTTATATAAGGCTTTGCTCAATTGCATGAGAACAGAAGGCAAGTGATTTAACTAACATTTACTGGGGGGTACTCAGGTCCAGTTACTTTTGTCTGCCCTGGAAATACAAAGATGATAAAGTCAAAACCCTGCTGTGGAAGGCATGTTAGAGGAACAGAAAATACATACAGAAAAATATTATATTCAACCACACTGACAAGATTATAAATAAATTTCCTTTCTAATTACAAATTTGAAGTGATCTGTAGAGAAAGTATGTAATTTTGATCATGAAATAGTGTATATGACCATCCAGGAAAATTTGCATATGTGAATATATATGCTAAGTGAATATTCTATCTATATATTCATATATATATTATGTCTAGATATATAGATATCTATAAATATATCTATAGGCATATTTATAGATATATTAATAGATGCTTACATATTTATAAATATATGTATTTAGATGTATAGATAATTGTAGATATATTTGTATGTATGGAGGCATTTAGATATTTAGATATAGATGATACCTATAGATATATAGATATTTAGATAAAGATGTGTAGTCACTATACAGAGAGAGGAGATAATTCTATTCTTCCTGTGGAACATAGAAGATCAAAAAAGTAATATACTTACATCTAGTGATAGGAGAATAAACTAAATATTAACTCTGACCACCAGTGAAGACTTTCATTTGGGTTATGAGTAGAATATGTATCTCATCCATTTGCTTGAGTTCTGAATACCTGTGCTTGGTCACTGGGCAGTAGACATCCATTTTTAACTTTGTAATTTCAGTTTCTCTCAGGAAAAAATAGTTAGATGGTTAGATAAAGATGTCTGTGTCTATTTGCAGTGAAAATGAGGCAATTTGGGGGATAAATGTGGTGGACAATGAGGGAGGATGCAGGTTCCACACAGGCCGAATTTCTAGTGACAGCTATGGCAACAGGAAGCCGATGATGGAATGGGACCAGCAAGGAGAAGGTACTAGTGGCAGAGCCTGCCCAGACAGATCAATGAACTAAGTCTCAAAGAAACAGCAGAAGCTGGTCAAGAGAACAAAGATGGTGGGAAGCTGTGGAGCAGGTGGCTGAGGTCCAACAGAGTACATCAGGCTTGAAGGAAGAGAAAGCATTTGCAAATCATGGGGAAGACAGAATACAAATGAGAGCCAGAGGAAAGGTGTGGAAGCAGGCACAGGCCAGGGCCTGACAAGTCTTAGGCAGGATGCTGATAGGAGGTTGGACTGTCTTGCAGGAAATGAGGCACTGCTAAGGAAACGGCAGCAGGAGTGTTCATGTATCAGAGCATTTTAATTCCAAGATTCCATACAGGAAAGGTGAAAGGACGAACTGCAGTCTAAGGCATTGAGGATCAGGGGTGGACACAGTCAATTGATATTAAAATGAAATCACTAGACAAAAAGATCTGTCATGTTTAGGAGAAGTAAACTTAATTTGGAAAGCTCTCTGGATACAAGGACTGTTAGGGTGTCAGAATAAAAAAAAAAAAAGAAAGTAAAAAAAAAAAATGAGCCTCCTGGGATGTCAATCAGTGGTCTAGGGGAGAACTGTCAGGTGCATCAAAGCATCTCCTCATACATACTCCTTGAAGACTGTGGGCCCAAATAGCATCATTTGTCCAAGAAATACCACTGATAAAAGAAGAAGCTGGCAGGGACTAAGGAGGTGTAAGCTAAGAAGTTAAGACAGGAGGATGGGTCAGCATGGACATGGGAGGAGCAGTTAGTGGAGGAAGAGTGGACACTGTGAGAATGTCCCAAGTGCCCATCCCCTGTAACATTTCATCCACTGATGGCAGCTTAGTCTGCCATCTCCTTGCTGGTCCCATTCCATCATCTGCTTCCTGTTGCCATATCTGTCACTAGAAATTTGGCCTGTGTGTAACCTCTATCCTCCCTCAGTCTTCACCACATTTATCCCCCAAATTGGCTTTATTTTGACTCTAAGTAGACAAAGACATCTTTATCTAACCATGTAACTATTTTTCGGAGAGAAACTGGAATTACAAAGTCAAGACTAAGCTAATATTATCCTATTAATGTTTACTGTACTTTGTGCATAAAATTAATTCTAATATAGCCTTAGTTTAGCTTTAATAGGAAAGTCAAAGCTTCCAGTTTACATAAGAAAAACTATTACAGCTAGTTTACAGAGGTTGAGAAGGGCAAAAACTACTAGTTATTTCATTACTTGAAATAGTTTATGCTTCAGAAATATACCATTGATTTTCTGTAACACCTTTGTCCAATTTTACCTGTAAATTCAGTCTGATGTTAATAATGTGGAAATATGCATAACACTGCTGTTATAATGTTTATGTAATATACCAGTAATTATGATAAATGTTGATTATAACTTGGGAAATTAGTCGTAATGGTTATAGGTATGCATGTAGGTACAATGCTTTTCTTTTAAAGGCAAACAAATGGCTAAATTAATAAATATTGAGTCAAAACCAACATGAGGCCATTGCAGTTATTTTTCTAAGTTGACTACCTATTTGCAAAGTTTCTTGGAAGCAGAAATGATTGGGAAAGGATGATGCTATGAGGAGCAACACTATATTCTTGCAATGGCAGAGGGACTGCTTGGATTCTAAGATATTAGGAAATAGAAGTTTTCCACTTAATTTAAACCTGAAGGGCAGAATGAATAAGTCAGGAAGGACCCTGGATTTAAGTCTGATTAGATCTAATCTCCACTTTGCCACCGAGTGGCTATGAGACCCTGGGCTGAGTATTTTAACACTTGGCCTCATTGTTCATATCAGTAAGACATCAGCAACCAAGATAACTTCACTGAATAATGGAAGAATGGAAAAGTAATAAAGTCATTAAAGGTCTTGGTTCTGTGCCTTGTGTCAACTACGTATTTGATATCTATTAGATGTTAACAATAAAAATATAACTTAGAGAGTTTTCTAACAAATATAGTTAATAATGATGTTGGTCATCATATTACATAGTGATGACCTGTCTTTGAATGTATTCAAGCAACTGCTAGGTGATCACTCTGTCTGCAACATGATGAAAGATAGCTCTGCTTCTGGTTATAATAAGCATTTATGTTATTATTTGCCTAAAATATCATTAACAATAGTAGTAGCTATACAACAATAATACTAATTGATGCTTGAATGAAGCAACCCAAAGGAATGAATTAGCATTCATTATGTTTGGCATCCTGTTGAGAAATTACATAATACTAATTTGTTTAATCCTTCTAGGTATTGCTAATATGCTCTTTTTAGCAAATGAGAAAAGTGAATCACAGAGAAGTTAAACAACTTGTCGCATTCACTCAGAAAGTAGGACCCAGGATTCACACTCAGGCAGTCTGGCCCCAGATTGTGTTAAAGTATATATAGATCCCCAATACAGATCCCAATCCCTTATCCCCATATCTTCTAATATGAAATCCTTTGAGCCAGAGGGATTTTGTCTTTCAGAGCCTTTTATATTTTAGAACTGCAATAACACATGCACACGCGCACGCACACACACACACACACACAATGGAAAGATAGATAAAATTAGAAATTGTTTCATGCCAATCAAGTTCAGGTTTTAGCAACAACATTCACTAAAAGGAGTTTTAGTGTAGAATCACCATCTCTCTCTGCCTTTCCAGTGTTTTTTTTTAAGTTCATAATTTTTAAAAATAAATTGTAGATGAAAAATTTTACTTGTATTACTAGCTATGTATTGGAGATAAGGAATCCCAAACTTAGATAGGTTGACTTGTCCAAAGTCATTGAGTTAAGTATATTGGAACCTGGATTGAATACCAGTTCTCCCAAAGTTTCTCAAACCTGTGATTTTTAAGGAGGGGCCAGCACACTTTTCTGTAAAGGACTGAGTAGAGAGTTCTGTTGGCTCTGCAGGCCATACATCTTTTCATTTAATTCATTCTTTTAGAAAATATTTATCAAGCATTCCTATGTGCCAAACACTCTTCAGAGGTTAGAGATATGTCAGTGAACAACAACAACAACAACAAAAAATGTGTCCTGGTGGAATTTGCTGTCATCCATCCATGGCTAATTTCTGTAGACTCCTTGCCTTGAGGGCTCCTTAACTTGGGTCCCATCCATAAGACTCTGGTGATTCCTGAGGACTGTGTTGCTGCTGTGTGTGTTCTGGGTGCTTCTTGTTCCCTCTCACCCTGCCACCCACAAGTGATCAGCTCCTTCTGCCACAATCTCTCTGGCCTTCTACTTCCTGTGGATTCTAAGTGCTTATTCCTTCAGTTCCCTGTAGCACAGTGGAATGTTCAATGAAACGTGCAGAGAGTACAAGATCACTGTGAGACGAGAGAAATGTATACAATAAATATGTATATAAGTTCCTATAGTCAGAAAACCAGTCCCCTATTTTTTCGTTTTATAAAATTTGTTCTTTTTAGATATTCATGACAGCAGAGTGCATTGTAACATATTTCAAACGTGAAGGACATATTTTAATTAGGATCTCATTCTTGTGGTTGTACATAATGTGCAGTTTCTCTGGTGGTGTACTTACATATGTACATAGGAAAGTTCTATCAGATTCATTCCACTGCCTTTCTTTGTCCATCCCCACTCCCTTCCATTCATTCGTCTTTGTCTAATCTGCTAAACTTCTATTCTTCCTCTCCACCCTTTTGCTGTGTGTTAGAATCTGCACATCAGGGAGAACATTCGACCCAAAGGTTTTGGGGATTGGATTATTTGACCTAGCATGATAGTCTCCACATCCATCCATTGGCTAGCAAAAGTCATAAAG